GCAGTACAGGACAAACACAGGGCAAATATGGAGTCGGTTTCATAATACAAAAATATCTGAAACAATACATAGAAAGTTACCTTGGTATCTCTGAACGTGTCGCTCTGCTTAATCTGAAAATACCAGGAAAGAAATTGACCATTATACAAGTATACGCCCCAACAGAAGCAGCAGATGAAGAAGAAGTAGATATTTTCTATGATACCGTTTATGAGGCCATGGATAAAGCTTACGAAGATTTTATTCTAATGGGAGACTTCAATTCCAAAATAGGTAAGCCACAAAAAGATGAAGACTTGGTTATGAAACAGTATGGATACGGAACAAGAAACGCACGGGGTCAAAGACTTATTGACTTTGCCATGGAAAACAAGCTAGCTATCATGAACACTTTTTACAAGAAAAAAGACAAAAGAAAATGGACATGGCAGTCTCCGAATGGCCAATATAAAAATGAATTAGATTTCATACTGTCTAATCATCCTCAATCATTTCAAGACATAGAAACACTAAGTATAAACTTTACATCAGATCATAGACCACTTAGAGCCAAAATATCACTTATTAAACCAGTGAAAACTCGAACCAGGTTTGCAAATAAACAAAACAGTACCCTTAATAATGAAGAAGAAATACAAATATACAAGGAAAACTTGAAAACTCAAATATCTCTACTCCACACCGAGCCAATTATGACAGTACAAGACTACTATGATAAATTATTAATTTGTATCGAAGGCAGTTTACAAGTTGCACGAACTTCAAATACAACAAAGACGTGCAGTGTACTCACAGAAAATACAGAAAGACTTTTAAAACGTAGACAAGAGTTACAAATGACCAAAAATAAAACACGAACAATGAAAAACGAACTCAAAGCACTATACAAATTGACAAGCAAATATATAAAAAAAGATTATAAAAACCACAGAACTAATATCTTTCAAAAACACTTAGAACAAAGTGGCAGTATGAGAAAGGGATATAAAGAATTAAGGACAAATAAAATATGGATTGATAGTCTGAAAGAGTCAGGAGATGGAAATGCTACTTACAACCGAAAAAACATAATTAACATCGCCACAAATTTTTATAAAAAACTATATAGTACGCCAGATTTATGCAGAGACACAAACTATGTCGATAATGACTACAGCGATACTACGACATCACAATCCCACATAGAACCAATAGATTGTACTGAAGTTATTGGAACAATAAAAAGACTAAAACCAGACAGGAGCCCAGGATCGGATAACATCACTAACGACGCCTTAAAAACGGCCTGCTGCATACTAGCTACTCCACTAACAAAATTATTTAATTTGATCATGGAAACTGGTGTCACACCATCTCAATGGTCTGAATCTGACATCACTTTGTTATATAAAAAAGGAGACCCAAAAGATATCAACAACTATCGACCGATAAGTCTTTTACCAAGTATATATAAACTTTTCTCTACAATAATTAATCAAAGAATCAGCACAACATTGGAGAAACATCAACCCATTGAACAAGCAGGATTCAGAAAGACATTTTCCACTATAGACCATATTCACACACTAGAACTGGTGATTGAAAAATATCAAGAACAACAGAGGCCGCTGTATATCTTATTCATTGATTACCAAAAAGCTTTTGACACAATCTTACATAAAAGTATATGGGACAGTCTAAAAGCCCAAAATGTAGAGCAGAAATACATAAATATACTCAAACACCTTTACAGAAATAGCTCAAGTAGAGTAAAACTGGAAACCACAGGCGCAAGCTTTCCGGTCAGAAGAGGAGTCAGACAAGGAGACCCATTATCACCAAAAATTTTCATCGCGGTATTAGAATCCATCATAAGCAAATTAGACTGGAATAATTGTGGTTTATATATCCAGGGAAAGTACCTAAACCATTTACGATTTGCGGACGACTTGGTTTTACTATCAGAATCGAGCCTGCAACTACAATATATGTTAGACACTCTTCATAAAGCAAGCAGGCAAGTAGGATTAGAAATGAACATTACAAAGACCAAACTCATGACTAACTTCAAAAAATCTAAAATAACAATCGAAAATGTCCCATTAGATTTTGTGGATCAATATATTTATTTAGGAAAAAAAATTGGATTCAACAGAGATAATAATGAACTAGAAGTGGAGAGAAGAGTTAAACACACTTGGAATAAGTATTGGAGCTGCAAAGAGATATTTAAAAGTGAAATGCCTGTTAAGTTAAAGAAAAGAATCATGGACTGTTGTCTCATTCCTTGTCTGACTTACGGATGTCAAACATGGAAGTTTACAAATAAAATAAAAAATAAAATAATCACATGTCAGCGAGGAATGGAACGCAGTATGTTAAATATTAAGAGAGTACAAAAAATAAGGCACACTAAAATAAGATCAAGAACAAAAGCAATAGATGCACTCAGTTACAGCCAAAAGTTAAAGTGGAAATGGGCAGGCCATATAGCACGTCTTAAAGATCATAGATGGACAAAAACAGTTACGTTATGGAAAGGCCCATCGGGTAAACGCTATAGAGGAAGACCGTTCACTAGATGGGATGATGACATTAAAAAAATAGCTGGTCCACAATGGCAACAAATAGCCCAAGACCGAGAGAAATGGCAAGCTTTGGAGGAGGCCTTTACCTGAGGGGGGTTCCAGTGGAAAAAAACTTAATACTAGTGCCTACCTACTTAAAACTGATTTCTATATTCATAATAATTAGATATGTATATACTTGAAAATTTAGACTACATAGATATAAATCTCTTTACTTTCTTGCTAACTATGTATAAAGGTAGAAACAATATTGCATGTGCTAGTTTGTAAACTGGAAATAAAAGGCTTTTTTATTTTTTATTTTTATTTATGGCAGTACAACGTTTGTCAGGTCGGCTAGTAATATTATAAAATTGTTTCGTGTATAATAATAATAATATATGCATGGATGATCACTTCAGTTATTCGGATGTGCGCCATTGTTTGAGTCTATATACATAATTATCTTAAAAAAATATGCAGCCCCCAAAAAGCTTACAGACCGTTTATAATTTATCTCACTATTGTTACCATTCTTCTCAGTTTTAATATCTTTTATATACAAAGTGAAGGCAAAACTTACAAATGAACTGCAACAGCGGAATTGTACTAGCTATCAGTCAGATCGTTATGATGGTATTTGATTCATTACAGTATCTGTATAGATTCGTACTTACACACTGTCTCAATAGACAGCCAACATATCGATTACAATACAAAAGTTATCTACATCACCTAATTTTTGGTAAATATTTGCTAGTATGTAATCAATGTTACATTTGGTGACACAAATACTGAAGGATATGTTCTATTTGTGTAAATTCTGTGGTTTTTATTGTGAATCTCTTTTCTTTTCCTACGAGTACACATACAAATGAAAGTAAGGACCACTTTGGTGGATGGCATCTACTCACATGCTTTGTCCATAATTGCTTGTGGTTTCGTTATAATGTTGTGTTTTCTAATTATACTTATGTATGTATGTATTTACAAAATAAGTATAAAAGTATTCTATCAGTCAATCTAGCTTTCATAGTACAAGCTCTGCTTAGTTTGAAACTATGGCGTTACGTGTCAGATGTCAGATAATTTTATTAATATTGTTACTACATACTATAGTATAAAGTTTTCCACCTAACATGCTGGTGGTCCTTCACACCCATATATTAAAGCAACACAACTTTACCAGTAACAGTTATTTTCACAGACACTGACTTTCCGACAATAAAGCAATTTAGTTCTCGTTGCCACTAGCCGTCCGTTTATATGAATATGTATTTGAAAACGGAATAGTTTTTTTAGAATGCATGTAACACTGCTGCAATCTTTAAAACTAACATTTTAATTGGGCTGTCAGGCTTTAAGTGGAACGGTATATTGATGATAGTCAATTCTTTCAGAGTCGGTGCTTCAACGTATTTGAATATACAACATTTTTAAAATAGGCTTATTGTCCAATAAGTCTGTAATTCCACTGACGTAATTTTGTTCAATAAAATTATCCAATCACGCATCAGTACTAACTTCTTGCTTGGCACATGTCACGCGACGCCGTCCACCCGTACCACTTTACCCTGCGCATGGGCATATAATATTTAAAAATATCTGATACACAACGCCATCTAGCAAACTAAGCAGCGCTTGTACTATGAAAACTAGATTGACTGTTAGATATTTTTTTTTGTAAATACATATTACACATACAAAACATGATGATAATGATGGATAGATGGCGCCACCATCTGGTAAAGTTTACCTAAAGAGAGTTCCGTATTTTGCATTATTTTAAAAATAGTAAAAGTAAGAATATAAATATAATTCCAATCTGAAAATGCTAAATATAGCCCAAAAGTGCAGTGTCAGTGTTAGCAAGTATATATAACAAGAACTTACTAATTAAAAGTGGTCACCACTGTGCGGAATGAACTCCAGTGAAAACAATAATAAGTCTTTAATTTGCCTAACTTCACGCGTAAGAACAATAAAATAAATGTAGTGCATAAATAGGAACAATAAAAAATACATTATTGTGAATAACTTCAAGAAGTGTTATTAATAAAGTTTAACAGTATAATAAAAAAACTAAAAAGTTCTGCATATTGGATACTATTATAGAATATCACCTATTTCTCTAATATAAAGTATCGATAATTTATACAAAACATAAATTGAAAGTGATGTGTTAATTGCTGTAAAAAAAAATATATATACAATCATTAAAAGTGTAAGGTACCTGCAAAACTCAATGCAAAAATTCCTAACACATGAGTCATCCTAACATATGATTAGCGATTTAAAAGTTTTATATGATAATAGGGATCAACAATTTCGACGCAAAGGTCGACTGTTCAGTTGGCTCCATTATAGGCGAACGGTTTGATAAGCGTTGTGTGAATTGACGCAGGTTCGCATCTCACCAACTAAAATACACTTTTTGCGATTGTTTCTACGAAGATGAACTTCCTAGAGAATATAACTTTCAGGCGCACACGTACAAAATCCGACTCAAATGATGTAAGTATACAACAATCAAATGAATCTCGCCTAGATGGCACCACTAATAGTTTGCCAGAAGTGTCGGATGATGAGGACGAAGTTTCGAAGTTAAAACAACAAATTAGTAAATTACAAGCTGATCTAAACAGTGCCCATAGTGAAATAGAAACGCTCGCGTTAGAAAATAATGAACTTCGACAATCGAAGGAAGAACTGATAAAAAAAAATGAGTTATATAAGAAACTTATTAGCAGCCCAACAAAGTTTAAAATAAATACACCAAAAAGAACAGAAAAAGTAATAAATAAAGAATTAAATATCACAAAACATAAAAAAAATATATCACAAGAAAACAGTGAAATTGCAAAAATAAATGATAACAATGTAAATACTGATTGTAATAGAACTTTGTTTAATAAGTGTAATAAAAGCAAAATAAACAAGCGCATTGAAATGCATAGTAGTGAGAAAATGAAATTGAGTAAAATATGTATGCTGAGTACAAGTAAACGTAACAAATTATTATCAATTGCTCGAACTGAGTTCAATGATTACAATATCTGCCACTATTTAATGCCCGGCGGTGGTACTGCGGCTCTGCTGAGTGGTTTGAAATCAAAACTAGTCAATTATACCATGGAAGACTACTGTGTAATTTTTATAAGCTCTGAAGATTTCACTACAACAAAGGACTATTTAGAACTGATTTACTCCTTACGGAACGCATTACAAGATATAACAAACACGAATTTAATTATATGTCTACCAAGCTTTAGATGTAACACCCTAGCAAATATGTACAACTGGAGAATTGAACACTTTAATAATTTGTTATACTTGGACGTAACAACTCATGAATATGCGCACGTACTGGACACAAATCTACATCTAAGTTATGACCATACCATGTTTAACATGAGGACAGGTTGGATTAACAAAAGTGGCTTATACGCCGTTTTTAAGGACTTACACACATTGATACGCGACTTACAAGCATATGAAATTGAAGGTACTAACACCCCTACGTCATCTGAGAGTAATGATCATGTCAGAAGCGACATAAAGTTTTTTCTGTGAGGAAAATTTACACATAATGCACCAGAATATAGCAGGATTATTGAATAAATCTGATGCCCTAGCTGTGTGTTTACAAGAACTTGAAGAAATACATAAAATTAATATTGATGTAATATGCATAACGGAACACTTCATCATGTCAGGATTTGAAAAATATCTTACTCTGCTTAATTATAATCTGGCTGCAATATATAGTAGACAAGATAGTAGGCGCGGTGGGGCATGCATACTAATAAAAAAAGGGCTCGAATGGCGACACTTAGAAGAAATAGCAAAATTATCATTGCCTGGGATACTCGAATGCTGTGCCATCGAAATTATTAGGAGTAACATAATCATTGTATGCATATACAGAGTCCCAAAAAATAATGCTATAAACATATTTTTTAGTAAATTAGAATCACTTTTAAAAATTGTATGTACCAAACGTAACAAAAAAATTGTTTTGTCAGGCGATTTCAATATCGATATTTTAAAAAAAAATGGGGTTGTGCTGGATTTTGAATGTCTATTATTTAACTATGGTTTGAAATTGGAATTCAGACAAGTAACTAGATTGCAGAGTGGCACATGCATTGATAACTTTTGTCATAATTTTCGAAGAGGATGTAAATCACAAATTTTTGAGTTCTCATTATCTGATCATACTGCACAATTGATGGAATGTCCAATCCGGAAAGTAGAAACTAGATATTGGCGAATAACTCGGCGTGATTTAAACAAAGACAATTTAGATAAATTTAAATCATGTATAGGTAGTCTCTCTTTTGACGACATATATCACACAGACAATCCAAACGAAGCCTATGCGTCATTTATAGATACTTTTAAATTATTTTATGATCTGTGCTTCCCACATAAAATATCCACAATTAAGTCAACAAAAAAACCTAAGTGGCTATCATGCGGCATTAAACTGTGTAGTAAAAATAAAAGAAAGCTCTTCTGGAAATACAGGCTAAATCCAAATAAAACAAATAAAATGAATTATATAAAATATGCACAAAGATATAGGTACATTATTAGACAAACTCAACGTGCACAAAATATATACAATATAAAAACATCAAAAAATGTATCTAAAACTACTTGGAAGATAATAAATCAAACAAAACTAAACGTTCCAAGAGAGTCTATATCAAGAATAGTCACAGATCAGAATACAATAATTACCAATCCGCAACATATTGCAAACACGTTTAATGACTATTTTATAGATAAAGTTAAACCAGTTCATACCAATGTCACAAATATAACAGAATCTATAGATAATAACATCAAATCAATGTTTATGCCGCCTTGCCTTCCAAAGGACGTCGACACAATAATAAAGAATCTTAAAAACACAAATAGTGTTGGGTATGATGGTATCCACACTAAAATAATAAAATCAGTTAGCCCAATCATTTCGAAGCCTATTAGCCATATTATTAATGTAAGTATAGGTTCTGGAATATATCCAGATAAACTAAAAACGTCGGTGGTTAAACCTCTGTTCAAAAAAGGAAACAAAGAACATATGGAGTGCTATAGACCAATCACACTTATTCCTATATTCTCAAAAGTGTTCGAGAAATATATTTCTAAGCAACTCTATTCCTTTCTTGAAAAATACAATCTCTTCGCAGTAGAACAAAAGGGGTTTAGACATAAAAAGAGCATAAACAAGGCTATCTACGAATTCTTAAATATAATTATATCTAAAGTAGATAAGAGAATACCAGTAAGCGCCATATTTTGTGACATGACGCAAGCCTTTGATTACGTAGATCATAAAACCCTACTGGAAAAGCTTGATAGATGTGGAGTACGTGGTAATGTCAATAACCTAATAAAATCTTACCTGACGAACAGAAAACAATATACAGAGCTCAGAAAAATTAACTTTTTAAACAAAAGAGAAGAAGTATACACGTCTCACTTACGAACAATTTATTACGGAGTGGGGCAAGGTAGTGTACTCGGGCCTTTACTGTTCATTCTATACATTAATGATCTACCCAAAGTAACTAACCATCCTGTTACTTTATTTGCGGATGACAGTACGGTAGTTATAGAATGTAACAATCGCGCTTACTATGAAACGGACATTAATAATACGCTCTATAACATTATAAAATGGATGGATAAAAATAATTTAAAAATTAATTTAGGCAAAACAAATTTAATACAATTTTCACAAAGACATAATATAATTAAAGATATGAATATAACATATAATAATATTAAAATAAATGAAATTGACGCTACTAAATTCCTAGGACTGAATATTGATAATAGGCTTAATTGGAAAATACATACTGAAGAGTTATGCAAAAAAATCAGCAGTACAGCCTATGCACTTTTTAAGCTTGCACCTCTGCTCAATGAGGAAGGTATACTTAAAGCATATCATGGAATAACCGCCTCCTATCTTAGATATGGCATACTATTCTGGGGAAACTCGACAAATAAAGAAATTGTTTTCAAATCTCAAAAGCAGTGCATTAGAGCAATGTTCAAATTAAAATCTACAGATAGTTGTGTACCATATTTTAAAAAGTATAAAATTATGACATTGCCATCTTTATACATTTATGAAACAGCAGTTTTCGTAAAGTCGAACCTGGAACTGTTCGAAACATTAGCTGATACGGTTACTCGCAATAGAAGAACCCACACCAGTAATAGGATGCGAATAAGAAAAGCAAATACAAAATTAATGCGTAAAAGTGTATTCTGTATGGCACCTGTCATCTATAATAAGATACCCGATCACATCAGAAATCTAGACATAATCCCATTTAAAAAACATCTACAAGAATGCCTATCTGAAAAATGTTATTATGATATAAGAGAATTTTTAGATGGTAAATGGGGATAATTAAATAATTTATTAAAAGAAATGAATTTACAAATACATACAATTTTTATTTATTATTTATCTTTATTTTTTATTTGACATTGTAATTACTTTATTGACATCATAGTTCTAAAATTATATACATAATTTATAAAAAAGAGACATTGATTTTGCATGTTTTAAGCTCTAAGGTATGAAAAATCAAACTGAAGTATTATATTGCTTTGATTGCGACAATTCAATGTAATTCTGTTTGCATGTCTTAAATTTAGCGTTTCACAATTATTTTTTTTTTTTCTCTTTAATTATTGTAAGCCTAAATGGCAGAACATAGTAGATCATTCTACCACTGTAAACAACCTTGTATACCTATGTTTCACAATAAAAACTGATTGATTGATTGATTGATTGATTGAAAAAAACACCCAAACTCCAAAACCAATATTTGCAGATCACGAAAAAATTTGATCCGACCCGGGAACCGAACCCGAGACCTCAGCACAGCAGTCGCATACGCTACCACTGCACCACCGAGGCAGTTTGCACTGCATATAACGAGGGACAAGCACAGCGGGGTCTCTTTTCGCTCCGGGCTACACCCCAGTTAAGTATTCTCGACATACTACGGCCGCCACCCGGATCAAAGCCTCCGGGACTCCACTCTGAGTTAAATTCTACGTAAATTGATATTTGTAATATTTTATTTTTGTAAATCAATTACAAACTGTGACTCTTTCATAGTTTGTTATTGATTACCTTTATAATTTATCTCTACTACTTAACTAGCGAATCGTCACGTTACACCCAAAACATACTAACGTGAGTAAAAATATATATCTTTAATAAAACTTTATAAAATGTATATATCTGCATACATATATGTACTCAAATTTTTATCACTGAAGGGTTAGACAGAGGCGTTTTAAAGACGATTTTACTCCTACTTAATGAATAGGGGCAGACCTACAGCCGGGCACTTTTGATGAAGGGAACTTGAGAACTCAATAAGAAAAGATAATCAGTAAAAAAGAAAGGCAATAATAGGAAAAGAATATTGCTAATTTATATCATCATCACATCAACAGCCTTTAATAGTCCACTGCTGGACTTAGGCCTCTCCTTAAAAAGCATGTTTTAGCCTACTATGCCACGCTGACCAGACGGGTTGGTATAAGGTTTATTTCAAGTTTTCCATTTTTTTTGCAGTGCCGTTGTGCTGCGTAGTTTGCTTCCTTAGTCGGCTCTTACCTAAAGTATGAAGAAGGGTGGTGACACTCCGTATTATTAATCCCCCACCACTCGGCAAAACGTATTTATAGCTTATGTATATTTCTCTTCAAACTATGTCCTAACTATGGTCACTTCAATACATTCTCCAAAGAGTCTACATCAACATGGGTATTCTACCAGCAGCACTAAGCTACTCCATGGTAAAAACACTTAGAACACAACATCAGTACACAAATTGACGGCACTCTGTTGTGTTTGCTTCGAACATCGCACTCAAGCCCCATCGAGCTTCGAACAAACAATGGGCCTTCGAGCTCCACGCGTTCGATTGCTGTTATATCACTTGTTTGAGTAGATGTTTACACATACATAATATATGTTAATGCATTAAGTTATTTAAATGATATCAGTAATGATAGATGGATTAGTCTATCTAAATATGGTTCGGTAATTATTGTTCTGATAGTTATCTAATTAGTGATTTGTCCCTATATCCTTTACCAATTTAAAATTTTGGATTAAGATCAGTTCTCATCGAAATTATAGCATATTGAGGACATTTTTGCCTCGAAACTTTAAACACTGGCAGCTTGGATGCAGTACCTAAGAAATAATTTTATTGCTTTAAGAAACATTTTCAGAATTTCATTGATTTTCAAATGTTGAACAAAAATAATGTAATTACATTGTGGAACATTTACACAGTGTAGCCTAGACCTTAAATAACGTAGTTTGCTTGTCGTACTCTTCTTGGAAGTGACAAAAATATTTAAATTCATGTTTTCTTTGTAAATAGATAGGTGATTAGACACAACCAATTAGCCATATATGTTCATATACTCAAATATTAATATGAGTGGGTTTGAACTATGCCATACATCGTCGTTGTTTAGAGACTTGCCTAGAGCGTATAAATTTATCTGATTTT